CACTTGAAGAGGAAACCATGTCCCAACTGCCATCGGTTTTTCTTTTTCTCTAGTAGCCAAACAAGAAGTGGCCTCAAGATGAGCTGACTAACGCACCTCCAACCCCTTGTTCCGCCAGCCAAGACCACAGCTGTAATGAGACAAGAGACTAATTTCAGTCCCTCTCTTAATAAAAGACCACCAAAATGGGGTAGGTTTGGCCAGTTTACAGAAAGCACACGCTGTGTGCATTTATGTCTTAGAAAGACCTTTTGATCTATAGGGCCTAAATGTAACACATTTAAATGTTAAGTCTCCGCCCCAAAATAAACGTGGGTCATACATGCATGTTTGTTCAATACACGTAGTCAGGACCATCTTCATAAATATTCATAGCTCCTCCTATAATCTGTCAAATATGTATGTGTATATATATATATACACACACATAGATGTAGTTGGTTTGTGTGTTTGTTTTGAGAGAGTCTTGCTCTGTTGCCCAGCTTGGAGTGCAGTGGTGCGCATAAGTTCACGGCAACTTCCATCTCCAGGTTCAAGCGATTCTCATGTCTCAGCTGAGTATCTGGGACCACAGGCACATGCCACCACTCCTCACTAATTTTTTTTGTATTTTTAGTAGAGCTGGGTTTCACCATTTTAGCCAGGCTGTTCTCGGACTCTGGACCTCAGGTGATCTGCCCACCTTGGCCTCCCAAAGTGCTGGGATTACAGGCATGAGCCACCATGCCCAGCCTGTTAAATATGTCTATTTGGCCAACCTGTCATTAAGCCCCACAGGAACCCCAGATATGACTCACAGTGGGGACCTTGCAGTATAATTAAAGCTAAATGCTGTACATACTTCCCAAATAACTCCCCAAACATATCCTCAGCCCCACAAGACCCACAAAAGCAAACCAGCACTATGTCTTAATCCCACAGTGTCTTTAAATCACATGGCTTTGGATATCCTAACTACAGCCCGAGGCAACCCTTGTGCATTAATTAAGGCTGAGAGTTATATACGTAGCAGATTATTCTCACAATACAACCCGAACTATACAGTCCTTAAATACTCATGTTTCTGCCATAGATTCCCTCTCTCAAGACTCTGTAACAGCATGCTTTAGTCAACTTCCTAATACACAGAAAACGCACTCTGCTTATTGTTCTCTTTGGTTGCTACGGATTGTTTGTTTGTTTGTTTGAGAGGGAATCTTGCTCTGTCACTGAGGGTGCAGTGCAGGGGTGTGGTCTCAGCTCACTGCAACCTGCACCTCCCGGGTTCAAGCAATTCTCGAGCTTCAGTCTCCTGCGTAGCTGGAATTACAGGCGTGCAACATCGCCCTGAGTAACTTTTGTATTTTTAGTAGAGATGGCGTTTCGCCATGTTTCCCAGGATGGTCTCAACCTCCTGGCCTCAAGTGATTCACCTGCCTTGGCCTCCCAAAGTGCTGGGATTAGAGACATGAGCCACTGCGTCCGGCCAGGTTGCTTTGAATTTTATTGCTGTTGTACACTTTACATGGGAATGCAGGACAAGTTTTCTTAAAAAAACTCCTGGGCCCTCCCTCCTAGAGATTGTTCTAACAAACCCCTGCTATAAGTCCAGGGACTCGAAAATACTTCCAACTCTAGCTCAGTGAATTCCATTTCAATACCCCTAACTATGCCACTTCTCAGCAGAAAGCAGCCTAATTAACTGTATCGCCTGCCTTCCATAAAAACGGGATGGATTTTGACAGTGGGGAATTAAATCTGGGCAGTTTAACTTCAAAGTGAATTTTAAAACTTCTTTTTTCCTTTCTCTTGGGCTTCAGGAGATAACTCTGAAGCAAACTATAGAAGCGTCTTCCTTTAGTCTTAAAATAGACTCTACATGCCTCCCTTTCTCACCATCTGCACTCCCTGCACATTCATCTAACTGCATGCTCGTATCTACGATGTGCCTTCTAGAAGTTCCAGGAGCTAATCTTGAGACAGACGACCAAGCATGGAGCCCCAGCCGCAAAATTCCAGAGATTACTTCAAAGTGGCTAGTTAACAACTCAGCCATAGTTGAGATGATGTCAGCCTGAGGTCCAGGTGACTGGGGCCCAAGATAGCGACCAAAACAAGACACACAGATCCTGTACTCAGCACAAGGCTTGCATGCCCTCCTTATCAGGTTTTCCTCTTTAAACCCCTGCCTCCCCTGTGAAAAAGTCAGAGTGGTTGCTTTGGATGGGAATTCGGCCACTTCCCCTTTACCAGTTGGGGTTAATAAAGTCATTTTCTTTCTACCGGGCCTCGCTGTTCTTCACTGGACTCTGCGGGCAGCAGGTATGTGGGCTGTGTTACTACTCTGTGTTCAGTTACTCTGATGTAATAACACAACACCTCTCATGTATGTGCTTATTAACCAGGTGGAAAAGATGTCTCTCTTTAAAAAAAAAAAACAAAAAAAAACGGGGTCTTACCATGTTGCCCAGGTTGGTCTTGAACTCCTGACCTCAGGTGATCCACCTGCCTCAGCCTCCCAAAGTGCTGGGATACAGGCTTGAGCCACCATGCCCGGCCAAAATGTCTCTTTTCTAAAGTGCCTTTCAGTTCTTTTGCCCATTCTTTTAGTCAAATTGATAGTATTTCTTATTAATTTGTCGCAGTGCCTTGTTTATTCTGCGCATGAGTCTTGTCGGATACGTGTATTGAAAATCTTTTTCTCCAGTCTGTGGTCATCTTTTCTCTATATTAATGTTTATCTTTTGCTGAATGGAAGTTCTTGATTTTAATGAAACCAAATTTATTAGCATCATCTTGTATGGTGCTTTTGTGTTTTGTTGAAGAAACCTTTACCTTCCTCGCCTGGGCATGAGGGGTCACACCTGTAATCTCAGCACTTTGGGAGACTGAGACCAGGATCCCTTGAGACCAGGATTTCAAGACCTGCCTGGGCAACATAGCAAGACCTCACCTTTACAAAGAAAAAAATAAATAATAAAGAAATGTTTATCTTCCCCAAAGACATGAAGATAGTCCCCTTTGCTTTCTGCTGGGAGCGTTATCATGCTTTAGTCTTTAGTTAAATCTGTCATCTCTATTTCATCAATCTTTATCTATGGTGAGAGGTAAGTGTCAGATTCATTTTTTTCTCATATAGATACCCAACTGACCCAGCAACCACTTTTTAAAAGGTTCATCGTTTACAAATTAAACCTTGGTGTTGCTTTTGTCATAAGTCAGCTGACCACATGTATGAGATTTTTTTCTAGGCATTTTTGTCTTCCATTGGTCTGTCCATCCATCCTTATGTCAATAAAGGATAGACTTTTGGGCCGGGCGCGGTGGCTCACGCCTGTAATCCCAGCACTTTGGGAGGCCAAGGCGGGTGGATCACGAGGTCAAGAGATCGAGACCATCCTGGTCAACATGGTGAAACCCCGTCTCTACTAAAAATACAAAAAAGTAGCTGGGCATGGTGGTGCGTGCCTGTAATCCCAGCTACTCAGGAGGCTGAGGCAGGAGAATTGCCTGAACCCAGGAGGTGGAGGTTGTGGTGAGCCGAGATCACGCCATTGCACTCCAGCCTGGGTAACGAGAGCAAAACTCTGTCTCAAATAAATAAATAAATAAATAAATAAAATAAAAAAATTAAAAAATTAAATGTATATATATATATGTATATGTATATGTATTGCTCTTTGTTTGTAAAACTGGTGGTCCTAAGGAGCTAGGAAGCGCTGTGATGATGCAGTTAGAGCACCGCTGGAGTCCCTATCCTGCCATTACTCATGATGAGAAAACCCAAATTTAAAGCCACCTCAAAGGACACCCAGGTGTCTTTTTCGGAAGGGCATTAGTATTACGCTGTTGCTTTCTCTTTCTCTCTAAACTGTAGCTTGTAGGAAGAAGCAACGCTCCTCCTCTCAGCTGACTCATTTTGCTTAACCCTGAAAGGTTATCTTAGTCTCCAGCACTCTCACATAGCAGAGAAAACGTCTTGCGTCATTCTCTCTGACCCCCTTAGCAAGTCTCCTCTTCGCATTCACAAGAGAAAAAGGAATGCCGGCAGGGAAGCTGTGTCCCGTGGCTTCCACTGTGGCCTTAGGCAGAGGGGAGAGTAGCACTCCCCTGCATCCGCACCCTGCTTCCCAGAAATAATGCTAATTCACACATTCTGCTAAGGTTGCTTTCTGCTAAGCTTTTCATGGGTTACCCCTAAACATCAAATTCTAGCCCCCCTCCCTCCGTGTTTTGAACAACGAGCAGTCAAGCAGGGACACTCGTATCTGCAGACAGCTCGTGAGGCCGGGAGCCAGGGGTGGGGCTGACCCTCCAGTGATGCTGTGACCTAGAGCTGCTGGGAAAGACACACTCGGAAGGCTAACTCCACCCACACGACGCAATCGGTGCCAAAGGGGCAACGCGGAAAGTCAGTGCCACCTCCTTTGTGCGGTCCTGGGTGGCGTCGTAGAAAAGACGTGTGCTTTGGGGCCAGAGAGATGAGTCTCTAGAGCCAGAGGGCAGGGCCCGGCTGAGCACCCATGACACTCCCAGACACCCTTTGTCTCCTTCTGCCTGAAAGCTCCAAAGGCAAGGGCCCAGCCACGGCGGCTGGAGCAAGGGCCGTTCCCAAACGAGGATTCTGCATTGTGAAGTTTCTAGTCCTGCTGGTCTGTGGCTAGGGGCAAGAGACATGAGGCAAGAGGGGGAGGGGATGTCAGAGATTCGGAATGCCACCTGGAACCTGATACCATGTCGGACATTCGTGTTGCACCCAGACTTTCAAAACAAGATTCCAGTATCCTTCTACATTGCCCTCCCAGGAACACCAGAAAGAAAGGGAGGGAGAATTGTCCATCCGGTTCTTCTAATGAGGAGCCTCAGACAAAGAGAACTTGCGGTTTGCCTATAGCAGCTTTTCTCATTACCGGGAAGTACTACCCATGGTGGGTAGGACTCCAAACCCACTGCTGTCAGCCCAGGAACCTTCCAGAGACCACCGCAGGAAGGAGGTGTAAAATGTCAGCCTGTCTACTCACCTTTCTGTAGATGGCAAAGATGGTTCCGATGGACGCCAGGCAGTCAATATTGGAAGATCCATCCAGTGGGTCAAAGCAGACCACGTATTTCCCCTAAATCAGAGAAGGAAGCACCACCTGGTCAGCACATCTTCCCATGAGCAGGATTGCTCTATGTCAGGGCTGGGCATGGCAGAGAACACGACATGGACGAGAGACTGAGAACCGCAGCATATCCTTATCAAAAAACACCGTAACTTACAAAGGGCAGAGTGCCAGCTTATGCACAAATACTCCTCTGGGTTTGGTATCCATCTCGCCTGTCCGATGTGAAGACCAGAAGATAAAGTGGGTGCGGTCTTGAGAGACCCATGTCCCCCACACCCACCCACTCTGCTGTCACAGACAGCCCCAGCCACGAAGAGAAGTCCCCAGATCCTTTTTATAGCCCGAGGTGTTCAAAGCCCTGAGAGGCCCTTAGTGATGGACACTGGAGCCCCCATGCCAATTAAACACTGGTAATGCAACTTCAAGTGAAATGAGGGTCATTTCTCCCACCACTTGAATTTTTTCCTTACTTTTCAGTGAGTATTGGCTGAGCTTTGTTTCTGTTTTTTGTGGGGTTTTTTTCCTTGCTCGGCCAGAGAAGGAAAAAAAAACTTAGATAACCTGTAAACTTGGAAATTCCCTGACATTGCTGTAATAATCCAATTTTCAAAAAATCCAATTTAGCCCATTCATGCATGCATGCATGCATTCAGCAGATACGTGCTGAGCTTCCAGCATACGCTGGGAACTGTTCAAGGCCTGGGGTTTGTTTCTGCAGGGCAGCGATTCTGGCAGCAAGACTGGACTTCCTGGCACTGACATTCCTCTGGGAGAACAGACAGGCAGCACGCAGGTCAGGACGAGCACGAGCAGGCTGTGGCACGTGCCCTAAGGAAAACCCACAGAGGCTGGGGGCTGGAGAGCCATGGGGGGGTCACACTGGACAACAGGCCTGACTAGAATTAAGGAATGAAGACACACATAGAGACCTAGAGAGCAGAACTGGGTTTTTTTTCTTGTTGTGTTGGGTTGTGTTGTCTTGTTTTGAGACAGCCTCACTCTGTTGCCCAGGGTGGAGTGCAGTGGTATAGTCACAGCACACTGCAGCCTAGAGATCCTGAGCTCAAGCAATCCTCCTACCTCAGCCTCCGAAAGCACTGGGATTGCAGGCATGAGCCACTGCATCCATACTAGAGAGAATTTTAGGCAGAGAGATCAGCAGGTGTGGAGTGTTCAAGAAGTGGCATGGGCCAGGCGCAGTGGCTCATGCCTGTAATCCCAGTACTTTGGGAGGCCAAGGCGGGTGGATTACTTCAGGTCAGGAGTTCGAGACCAGCCTGGCCAACATGGTGAAACCCTGTCTCTACTAAAAATACAAAAATTAGCCCAGCGCAGTGGTGCGTGCCTGTAATCTCAGCTACTTGGGAGGCTGACATGGGAGAATCGCTTGAACCCGGGAGGCGGAGGTTACAGTGAGCCAAGATTGCACCATTGCACTCCAGCCTGGGCAACAGAGCAAGATTCCGTCTCAAAATAAATAAATAAATAAGAGCTGGCATGAAGACCTATGTGGCTCAGGCCCATCAGAGAAGCAATGGTTGATGAGTAGATGAGACTGGAGAGAGAAACAGCTGAAACTGGAAGCTGGGACTGACAGGTCTGATACAGCTTCAATTATGTGAGTCAAGCGTGAATGCTCCTTACATGGTTCCTGGCACACAGCAGAGGTTAAATACATGTGGCTTTATCTTACTTTCTATTCCTCCAGCTAATCGCAAAGAAATGGCCTCTTGTCCTCAATCCGCAGTGTGTAAAACAAGGCCAAACAGCCTCAGCTCTAGTTACTGTGTGGCAACTGAATTGAACCTTTTGGCCATCAGCAAACCCCTGTGTAGAATAAGCTGTGTGTGAACCCGTAGTGAATGCAGACCCTCCCAGCCACGCCTCACACACCGACCTCACCGCCCTATGAGGCAGGAGCACAGGAGGCTTGTGGCTTCGTTTCTGGACCAGTCTGACGGCTTGTCAGGCACAAACAAATCTCTGCTGCAATCCTGAAACCGTAACCCCCCGCAAAGTGTGGGCTAGGGGCGGGGGTGGAGATGAGAAGGCGGGTGTATAGTACAGCTCTTCCCTGGACCCCTGGAATGCACAAGGTTAAGCCCCCCAAACTGTGACACTTGCTACTGATAAATTGAACCACCATGGACAAGTGCCCACTGAGGCGGTTCCGACATCATTCTGAGCTATTTCCTGACACCCTGTCCTACTGCGGAGTCTTCTTTCACTAGACGGCACAAGATTCCCAACTGGAGAGGAATGCAACCCTTTGTTTCCAGAAAACACGTGTTGAGAAACAGAGGAAACCCCGGGAATGACAGGAGAGCAAGGCAGCTTATTCCTGGCTCAGTGCCACTGTCTACTGGCGAGCGCGGGCAGCGCCGCCCTAGGACGCACCCTCTTCTCCTTGGTGGTGATGATGGCGTCCTTATTCTCTTCTGAGACCAAGACGCAGGTGCTGTAGGAGGACTGGAGCATGTTGATCACCAGGGAATTGGATAGCACGTCCAGTTTCTTCACCTCGTCTCCCGTCACGTTCACGCTTCCTGCGATTCCAAACCTGAGAAGACAAAAGGCTGAATGAAGTCACTAGGGGGTCTTAACTCCAGCAAAGAGCCCAGGACCCTAAAACTCCAGCAGTGCATCCCCCTCTTGTTCTGTGTCTCTGGAGTCTCCAGGTCACACGTGCAGAAGAAGGTGACTCTGCCTCGCAGGGTGCCTCTCAGCCTTGCCCCCCTCACACCTTGGTGGAGTCGTCATATTTTCTTAGCCTCCCAGTGAGATCACCCAGGATTCAGTTTCACTAAAACGCAAACCCAGGCTCAGAACGAGGAGGTGGAGCAGATGAGGAGCTCATCCAGTCAGACCCACTGCCGAGTAAAGGGCCGTGGCCTCCAGCCCTGGAATTTCAAGTCTTTGTGGATTCTCCTCACACGGTGCCCTACTGGGATGAATTAAAATTGCCCTGTGCTAGCTTGGTGTTACTTGAACTGAGAAGGAATTTTGGGGGCAGACGTAACTTATTTCATTTGCTTCGTCACTGCAATCCCAAGCAATGTAAGAGAGTGCTACTATGAGAATTACATGCAGGTCGGGCATGGGGGCTCATACCTGTAATCTTAGCACTGTGGGAGGCAGGGCTCCCTTGAGCCCATGAGTTCGAGACCAGTCTGGGCAACAGAGTGAGACCCCATCTATACAAAAAAGTACAAAAATGATCTGGACCTGGGAGCACGCACTTGTAGTCCCAGTCACTCAGGAGACTGGGAGGAAAGGATCACCAAAGCCTGGGGAGGTGGAGGTTGCAGTGAGCAGTGATCATGCCACTGCACTCCAGCCTGGGACATGGAGTAAGACCCTCAAAAAAAAATTGTATCTAGAGTCTTTGGGTTTTAGAATATTCATATGAAAATGGCTCCCCACTTCCACGCTCACCCCTTCAGGAGGTTCTCAACACAGCAGCAGGAGGGGTCCTCGTAAAGGGCCCTCCAGTCTCACCCAGAGGCAAAATCCAAGTCCCCAAGCGGGTGTCAGGTGCCAGCGTGGAATCTCTGTGCCCGGGCTGGCATGACTGCCTGTCCTTCCTGTCCTCGCCGGGTCAGCCCCAGCCTCTGAAACCCCCAAGGCACACACCTGCCTTGTGACTGACTGCCCAGTGACCCTGCCACCCCCACCTCGGATACTTTTTCTCAAGAGCCACGTGGCGGCCACCCCAGGCAAGCCTGGGCTCGAGGACCATCTCTCACTGGTGCCTTCTCTGGCGGTCTATCTAGAGAGGCATCCCCTGGTCCCCGACATCTCACTCGATGCATTTTCTCATCTGCCCTGACCACCGTCTAGCCCCTGTTCATTGTCTGTGAGCTCCACAATGGCAGGGATTTTTTTTTCCAGCTTGGGGGAAGCCGTATCCATTGTGTGTCCACCCTGCCCCACTGCGGTGAGGCTCAGCCACCCTGCCTCCCTCTTCCGTTCCAGCAGCGGCAGACACCCCGGGCCAGCACCCGGCGAGCGGCTCCAGCCCTTCTCGCCTTGATTAATGACGTTCCCACCACAGCAGTGCTCTCTACCCAGCTTTCTTCCTGCTCTTCCTCCTTCGCCTCTCTGGCATGCCTCCCTGGTCCTCTCACATGTGCCCCACACACCAGGCACACCCAATCATTCCTCTGCGGTGCTCACCACGCTCATAGACCAGCTTCCTGCTGCATGGCCTGTTTGCAGAGGGCAGGGCCTGTCCTTCTGTCCGTTTCTGCAGTGCCCAGACCCACAGCACGTGCTCCATGTGTGTCCACTGGGTTATGAGCAAACCATGGCAAGAAAGGAATTTCCCTTCCCTCCCCATGTGAATCCCATCGATTTGCAGAAGGAAATCTCAGGTGGTTCTAACAAGCAGCCAGGGTTGAGAACTTACCTACCTTAAGCTGGGGACAAACTCATTTCCCACCCTCTTCCCTGAACAGCATCGCCACCTCATCCCCCAACACCACCCCCCACCCATAGGGCATCATCTGGTGTCTGAGGAACCATGATTTGGGCAGTCAGCTGCCTTGGAAAACACTCCCGGCAGCCTCGCCCCAAAGACTGTGCCTACTGGTCAACACAAAAGCAAGCAACAGCAGCCACAAAACTGGGTTGACTGCATCTGAGTTTCAGGGGACCACAAATGCAGGCTCTGGTGTGATACGGAATCTGGATGCACTTGGCCGCTGGAGACTGAAGAGCCGGGGCCCAGGCCTGCGGTGGGCAGAGCTGAGAAACAGGCTCTGTCCTGTACCTTGCAAATCCCCTCTCATCCGTCTAACCCCAGCCCTCAGCCACCCCCTGCACCCTCCCTCCAGGGCAACATCCCTCCTCCTGGAAAGAATGGAAACTCCCCAGGAGACGTGAGTCCCCAGCAATAGCGTCACCTGAGACGATGGGGGAAAGGGACTCTCTAGCCCATAGGACAATATCTTGCAGAGTTCTGACTGGCACTAAAGCTCACTGACAGTCTCTAAAGGAATGCTGCATGAGAAAGCCAGGGAGAGGCTCTGGGGGCGGGGGGGGGGGGGCAGGCCAGCCTCTCTTCTTCCCGTACGGAGAAGAAAGAGAAGGGGAAAAGGAGACTCAGAACTTTTCAATTGCATTCACGGAGGCTGTGCTAGAAATATCTCCCCAAAAGGAGCCAGGGACTTGAGGTCCCCTGCCTGGAGCGGTGGCAGGAGTGTGAGACAGGCTACACACAGCCTGGCTCCTTCAGGATGGAAGACCACCCTTACCCTCCCTGAGAAGCAATGTCTTTTAAAAATAAAATAATCCACCTGGGGAGTTGGGGAGAGAGAGCATGGGGAGAAATGCCAGATACAGGTGATGGGGAGGAAGGCAGCAAATCACACGGCCACGTGTGTCCCTATGCAACAATCTTGCATGTTCTTCACAAGTACCCCAAAACCTAAAACGCAATAAAAAAGTAAAATAAAATAAAATAATCCGAGTATCTTCTTAGAAAGAAAGAATTTCTAGCCACCGGGCTTCTGCTGATGCCTCTCTGGGTGTCTCTTACACAGGGGCCGGGGAAGGATGCTATCTGAGTTGGCAGAATACGGGGTCCCAGCTGGGATACAGGGTCCCCGCTGGCCCCAGGACTCTGCCTCAGCCTCCCCAAGTGGATCCTGACGCGGGGCTTCCACGGGCTGCGCCTGCCACCTAGCGGCCATCAGCGGCTCGGACACAGGCAAACCTGGCCCGGGCCTGGAGCCGCGTGGTGACAGACACTGGCCTGCATTACTGGGCGGGCGCAGTGGAAGCCGCCATCCACGCACTTGCTAACCCTGCAGCAACCCTAAGAGTTAGGGCTGCCAGTTTCCTCTCCATTTCACAGATGGGTGTATGAGGTCCCAGCAAGAGTGCATCACTGCCCATTTTCACACGGTAGAACGTGCCAAGTTTATAAGCACCTCGATTATCCCGTTCCTAGGGCCATTTTGTGTCCTTGCTCAACTGTCACAAAGTCAGAGTTTTGCAGCAGATAAGCAAGAGCATGGCAGCCACTGCCTAGCCAAGATCCCTGCACAGAGCGGGAGCCTGATTCGTGTGACTCATCCTGAGGTGGGCTCAGGGCCCGCATGGCGGGAGGCAAAGTCCCTGTCTACCGTCACGCAGCAGGGCTGCCACCCACCAGGGCAGGACAGGGACCTGCTGCTCTCACATTCTGGAAGGCGCTTAAATGCAGAGCATGGCCGTTACTGCCAAATGAGGTAAAAACACAGCGGAGGCATCCACACACAGGAAAAAAGCGAGCATACTGCATCCTTAACCTGAGTTCTGATACTGGGGCAACCCCCCCCCCACCCATATAAATACAGTCTGCAGTGATCTTGATGATTACATCTTGTAATCTAATGCTATCATTACGTCTTGTAATCTAATGCTATCACTGTTTGTGTTAAAAGCACTAAATTGTTCAGAATAAATATTTTAAATGATTTGACTTTGTTAGTTCTTCATTTTGAGTCTCTCTCATCCCCAAAACATGTGTTCCTTCAGTTCCTGAGAGGACCTCCCCTGGAATTACTATAAAGAAAAGGGAAGCCCAAAGAAAGCCAGGTTCTTTTTATCACAGGCTTAACCTGGATACTGAGCTGGGACCATCAGCACTGTAATGTGAACTTGGCCTCATCCGTGCTTGGATAAAGCACCAAAGAGAGCCCCGTGGAAGAAACCTCTGAGCTCTCCTCCCAGGACCAGCACCTCCCAGCTTCCTGCACACTAAGTGGAGGTGAAGATAAAGAAAGAGTCACAGAGAAGAAATAAAACACATAGCCAGCCAAACACTCCTTTAGATGATGGGAGAGCAGATGCAGGAAGGGACGCTACCAAGCTTCCCATGTCGTGAATCATTTCCGGCTCCTAACATGTTGGCAAAGGTTATGACAATAAAACACTCATATCTGCAAAAGACATGAAGAGATGTTCGAGGTCATCCCTCCACTTCCTCGTGCCAGTGAGACTCTCTCTGTGCAAATACGAGTCATGATAACATGATGCATGTTTTAATTCAACAAGCCACTGCACTTGGTATCATTATAATAACTGGAAAAATTATACGTATAAATTTCTCCATAGCACGTTTTCATTTCTTTCTCGAAACAAGTCAAAGTCCCCTTTATCAGAGCACACATGATAGAAACTTGAAATGCAGCTTCCAACCAGGGCACACAGGACCAATAAGCTTTGAACCTTGCTTCTTGCCAAAGCACCTGCAGCTCCCACACCCCTGCTTAGGCCTGGGGTACTCTGTACCCCATGCCTGCTCCCCAGGACTCACAGGTGGGCCAGGCCAGCCTTGCGCACGGCCGAGGAGATGGCTTTGATGGCCGTCAGCATGGAGTTCAGCAGCTGGGTGAGCTCCCCCGTCCCTTTGGCCTGACGCCCCTTTTCCATTACATAGCGGGTCAGGGTGAGCATGTCAGTTTCGAAGGGGCTCCTGTCCGTCATTGTGGCTGGAATGCTTCAAATCCTTTTCTCCCGGCAGGAAACCTTGCTGATCTCTGAGAGCTGCGGCTCCGCAGTGTGGAAGCTGATAAGAAACCTGTGTTGGCCCGGCCAGGATCTCTAAGGAAAAGGGCCCAAAACACATGACCGAAACAGCAGCTGGAGGCCTCAAGGAACTGCCTCTGGCCTCGGGGACTGTGGCAGCTGCCAGGGAGCCACAACAGTCTGTAAATAGGACGGCTGCCCAGGAATGCAGAGCGGCTTTCTCCTGCTGAGCACCCCCTTTCAAGATACCAAGAAGCCACACGCACAGGTGGGAGGTGAGAAATCCAGCTGATTAAAAAAAATGATACATAAAACCCTTTTATTCCAGGCTCCAGAGGTTTCTTCACATACAGTGACTGCAGAGCCTGACTCTCCCGAGGGTGGAGGGGGCAGACTGGCGGGTACCATATCTGGGACATAGGTCACATAGTGAAATAATGGCAACCGGAGAATCCCTTCAGCCAGGGTTTGGAATAAGTTTGGAAAGAAGGCTTTTCATTTCCAGTAAGTATGTATGACCGGAGGATACCCACAGGACACATCCAGACCTGGAAGAAAACTATCGTATTCCCAGCACAGTGCTGGCACCGGTGTTATTTTGTCAATATCTCTGGAGGTCCACTTTTATAACAAAAATCGCATATGATAAAGGAAACACTAAAGAAGGGTATAAGGAAAAAAGTCCTCACCACCAGCCCATCCTCCCATCCCACTCTCCAGAAATCACTGCTGCTATGCTAGGGCTGGTGGCGGTCTGTGCCTCCGGGAGGCACTGGTGGGCGTGCGTATGGTGGTGGAAGCACTTTCTCTAGGGCCAGGCGCTCCTGGCTCTGTGTCCCAAGCTAGCTATCTGTTGGGTGCATGATTTGGGAAAGTTATTAACCCCCGTGGAACCTCAGTTGTCTCACTCATAAATGAGGATAACTATAAAGCATTCGCCTTATAGAGAGATGTGCCTAGTGCAGTACCGGCTCGATACTTTGTTACCTATCATTGAGCTTCCAGTCTTCCAACGTGCACACAACTATTGTGCAATCTCACATAATCTCATTTCACACAACAGTGGAACACGCACATTTCTCTGAAGGTTTTTTTCCCCTGACAGTTATGTCAATTACAATGTGTTCAGCTGCAAGTCGTAAAACACCCAGAGCAATTTACACATGAGGGTTTATTTCCTCATAGACCACGGGTGCACTAGGCGGTGGTGGCTGGTGTGCGTTCAGCTGTTCGTGGCTCCGCAGGGACCCCTCTCTGCCTCGTCTCTGCCATCCTTGGTCTGTCAGATTGTGCCCCTTGCTTGGCATCCTGTGGGCACAAAATGTCACTGCAGTTCTGAACATCTAGCCCACATTGAAGACGCAAAGAACAGAGCAAGAGCAGCTCCGACCACATCAGTTCCCTTTTATCAGGAAAGAACAATTTCCCTGGACCCCATCCTCCCACTCATGTAGACATCCCTGTGCACAGCATCAGCCAGATCGGGGTCGCTGGTGATGCCTGCAGCAGGAGCTGGGTGCTGGCATCGGATCAACCAAACTGGTTGAAAAGGGCAACTAAGTGGCTGAGACAGGCATTGGCGCTGGCAATTTATGTGGAAACTTTCAGAGAAAACTAAGATCTACCAGTAGATTTTAATATGCAGATTTAAGATCTCAAATATAGATATGTTATTCATCTCTTTTAGGTCCAGAAAGCAAATATTATGGGAAGATGTCCAAGTCAGCACACAGAGGCTTGCTGCAGTGCAGTTTAGTTAAGTTTTCTCTTCAAATAATGCTACAATAAGCACCTAGCATGTGGGCCGGTGCTTCAGTATGATAAACCCCAGAAAAGGAAATGCTATGTGACTGCGTTCTAACTTTTTCGGGGGCGGCCCATTTTTATTTACCAAGGAATATGCCACCTCTTAATAGAACAAATATAGGATTCCATCCCCCTTTTTGTGATTTTCATTCAGGATGAATGGAGAGAGACAGACGCCTCTTTTCCAGTGTGTGGCACACCTAATCCATTCAATTACTTGATTCAGTAGCGCTATTTTTACAGATGAGGAAACTAGGGTCCCCTAGTGATAACAGCTACTAGCTGGAATCTCAGCCAAGGCTACCTGAGACCAGTGTTCATTCGATTTTCCCTTTTTTTTTTTTTTTTTTTTGGAAATAGCGTCTCACTCTGCCACCCAGGCTGGAGTGCAATGGCGCGATCTCAGTTCACTGCAACCTCCACCTCCTGGATTTAAGCAATTCTCCTGCCTCAGCCTCCTGAGTAGCTGGGACTACAGGCACACACCTCCATGCCCCGCTAATTTTTTGTATTTTAGTAGACACAGGGTTTCACCATGTTGTCCAGGCTGGTCTTGAACTCTTGAGCTCAGGCAATCTGCCCACCTCAGCCTTCCAAAGTGCTGGGATTACAGGTGTGAGCTACTGCACCCGGCCATGTCTCGTAGGTGATACTTTCTCTCATTCTGGGATGTTCCTCCTCCCTAGATGACGGAGCACCACACGTGACAGTGCACATACGCCTGTTAACACAATTAGAACATAGAGTAAGACATGAGCTTAGAATCAAGTTTTAACAAGACAGATCACTAGGTATAACGAAACAAGAATGTCTGTCTGGGTCAAACCAAAGTGTTGCTAAATCTATACCCAAAGGAAAGAAGGCTGGGCCGGGAGTCAAAGACTTAGGGCCCAGCCATAGCCCAGGCTCTCAGTGAAACCAGCACACGTCATTGGTGACTCCTCTGAGACTCAGACGCCTCAATTTAGAAATAAGATTTGGCCGGGCACAGCGGCTCACCCCTGTAATCCCAGCACTTTGGGGGGCCAAGGCAGGGGGATCACTTGAGCCCAAGAATTCAAGACCAGCCTGGCCAACATAGAGAAACCCTGTCTCTATAAGAAATAGAAAAATTAGCCAGTGTGGCGGCATGCACCTGTGGTCCCAGCTACTCAGGAAGCTGAGGTGGGAGGATCACTTGAAACTGGGAGGCAGAGGTTGCAGTGAGCCAGGATGGCACCACTCCAGTGCACCCTGGGTGACATCGACGCTCTGACTTAAAAAAAAAAAGGGATTAGACCTCATGATCCCTAACTGTATTATTTTCACTTAGTTTTGAAAACACACATTGTCACTGCTTCCAAGTGTTTCCAAATCCAAATGAATTGTTCATCATTCAGAACAATACTGTCACATTGAGAAATACACTGGGAAACAGTTATCAGCAGCACAGCCTTCTGCAACAGCTTCACTTCTGTCAGTTGCTAAGGGTTAGGCAAAGACGTGGCTGTCATTTCTAGTTCATATTTCTTCTGGAAGGTGCTAAAACGCAGACATAATAATCAGTCCAACTTCCCTAATGGAAGCTGGAGAAAGGGCCATTCCAGTGTGTTTTACTCTGTTTGTTCCTGTTTAATGAAAGACTCGTCTAACTAAAGATGCCACTTTGTATTAATCCGTTCACCCCTAACACTCAGTATCAGTTTAATAATAATGATAAGCTAATAACAGGAGCTATCATCTTTTGGGTAAGAACATTTTAATTTTGATATCATGAGGATCAAACTTGAAAAACTCTTTTCCTCTCCCAAGAGCTTCTGGGAATTGTGAAAACAGCAGAATGGAACTTACCTTGATCGGAGCACATCATGTTGCCTTTAACAATAAGCTTTGCCTTTCACATGGGGAGAGCAGAGATGATTACCCTGAAAGAATTACAAAAAGAGAGTGGCTGGATCTTCCAAGTTCTGGGCCAGTAAATGACTTCAGGGTGAAGGTGGAGGCCTGGTTGATTGGTTTTCAGGTTTCCTTTTGAAGCTAACGTTGTTATCCGGTTAAGAGGGTTTCCCCTGTGATGTTGCAAAACAATGCTGAGAATGTATATTCACACAAACACACACACACATATATTTACAGCAGCTCTAGTTAAACTGGAAACTGCAAACGCCCAGAAGCTCAACAGTGAATGGGTGAACACACTGGGAGAGCCACACAATGGAAAACTATTAAACAACACACAGACACCAGTGCCACGTGGCTCAGAGGCACTGTGCTGAGTCACAGCAGCAGCCTCCGGTATCTACAGTCTGATTCCATTCGTAGGGGACTCTCCAGAATGCAAACCTGTGGGGACGGAGAACTCTCAGTAGCTGCCACAGGAATAGGGATACAGGGAGGGGACAGGACAAGGGGGTCTTGCATGATAGAATAGTTCTAGATCCCAACTATAGTCAGAATCCCAATTTCAAATTTTGCAAACGGAAATTCCGTACTCATTAAACAAGAACTTCCCATCCCCCTCTCGTCCCCGGCACCCACCATTCTGCTCTCCATCTTTATGAATTTGGCTACCCTAGGCCCCTTATAAAAATGAAACACACACGACCTGTCCTACTTCGACTGGCTTGTTTCACTCAGCACGATGTCCTCACCATCCCCACATGCTGTGGCGTGGGTCAGAGTCCCCGCCCGTCTGAGGCTCAGCAGTGCTCCACGGTATGGACACACCACAGTCTGTTTGTCCGTTCCTCCTCATGGCCACGTGGGCCGCCTCCACCTCCGGGCTAGTGTGATCATGCTGCCATGAGGCTGGTGTGCAACCTTCTGTTCAAGGCCCTGCTTTTGATTCTCTTGGGGATGTGTCCAGAAGTGGACCTGCGGGATCATGTGGTAATTCCGTGTCTAATTTCTGGAGGAACTGCTACACCATTTTCCTCAGTGGTCGCACCATTTCACATTTTCCAGGGTGAGCAGCGGTCCCGGGGTCCCCACCCGATGGCCAGCACTTGTTGGTTTTTGTTTGTTTGTTTTTATAGTAGCCATCCTCATGGGTGTGAAGTGGTTTCTCATAGGGGCTTAGAGCTGCATCATCCCAATGATTAGTGATGTTGAGCTGTGTTTATTGGCCCCTCCTGTAATTCTTTTTATCATGTTTGGCTGGGCACGGTGGCCCAAGCCTGTAATCTCAGCACTTTGGGAGGCCGAGGCGGGCAGATCACCACGTCAAGAGATCGAGACCGTCCTGGTCAACATGGTGAAACCCCATCTCTGCTAAAAATACAAAAAATTAGCTGGGCATGGTGGCGTGTGCCTGTAATCCCAGCTACTCAGGAGGCTGAGGCAGGAGAATTGCCTGAACCCAGGAGGCGGAGGTTGCGGTGAGCCGAGATCGGGCCATTGCACTCGAGCCTGGGCAACAAGAGCGAAACTCCATCTCAAAAAAAATAAATAAATAAACAAAATAAAAATAGAAAT